AGGTCAAGATCAACTGAGGAAACCACCTCATTTTTAGCACTTTTACCTGCTCCTCCGTTAAGTCATATCAATGACTATAAACATACTTTTACCTGCTCCTCCGTTAAGTAATATCAAAGACTATAAAAATACTTTAATCTTCCCCTCCGTTAAGCAAAGGCACTTTAGAGCAGACTGCAAAAAATGTGTAACAGTGTAGTAGTAGTACAAATCAGGGTATCACATGCCATTACAATCGTTCTGCATGTGCATTCAATAATATGCATCTTATTAACTTATTTGTTTAAATGAAGCTGCACACTCATTTACTTATGTAGCGTGTTTCTCTCATGGTTCTGATTACAAACGTGTTTTTCTCTTGATATTAAGACTTACGTACTTGTATCAGTAAAATTATTGCACTTCCTCTCGTTTCTTATTTGATAGCATTGTCAGTAAACTGTTTACATGCATCGTCACAGTAACTACTGTAAAACATGAATATCTCCGACCTCCTGCGAAAGAAGTTTCATAAACTGTACGTGCAATTTGTTCGATGCACAATGTCGATATAACTCTCCTACAAGGTACTGCAATTTGCAATTTGCAAACTGAAACACTAGTAGTGATATATATTTTGTGTACAAGTTATAATTTTGTACAAATTATAATTTGTACAAAAAAATTGTACAAATTATTATTTGTATTTTGACTTTGTACAAATTGTTATTTGTACAAAAAGTGCCTGTAAACATAATAATTTGTACAAAATAAGGCTTAATTTCACTTATAACTTGTACAATATTTTACATAGAATATGTTTCAAATCAAATGATAAAAAATAGTTTTAATTTCAATTATGAATCAATATGAAACCCACTGATAAATCCATTTACAATACTATACATAATATACAATGCTCTTATTTGTTGGAGCAGAAGTGCGAACCATGACACCTCGAGTTACACAATATATTCTGCTTTTTGCATTTAAAATTCGAATTGTTACAATCGCCTTAATTTGCAAGAGAGATAACCCTGTCCACCAGTTTTTGAAATTTTTTTGACAGCTTCCCTCAGGGAAAGTTGTAAATCAAGAAATTGTGTAACAGACAAAAAAAGTGTCATTAATTGATTCTAGTTGGTTTCTGCTTAAGACTCCTGATATATTACCAGCTATTGTCCCTACACAATATCCAACATTTCCTACTTCCACAACAACACCTTGTATATTCCTCGGATCGTTCGGTGCTCAGTCATACTGTGGAATTGGGACATTGTCTCCAATAGATAACTTGCTCAGTTTCTGTTTTGTATTTCTTGTTAGGACATCCGCTTGAATTTGTTGGCCAGACAATGCCCGTTTTCGACTTCCTCTGATACAACTTTAATAGTTGTACAAGTTGATCCACAAAGCGCAAACCTTCAGACACAATTGCTGAACTTCTTGATAGAATTTATCCTGTTGATCAACAGTACTAGCCATTTTAGTGAACACTTTAATTTTTAATTTTGCAAATGACCATTTGAAAGACCAGTTTATCTCTGTATCGATGTAATGCATTGGCTTTATAAGAATAAAGATATAAAGACCAGTGAACAGGAGTTTAATTTATAACCTCAAGGCAATATACATGAATCAATATGACTTGAAAAATTGCATTGAAAAGTTTCTAGTGTGTATCAATACTTTTTTATCAAAAAATCACAAGTTATAAGTGAATTTTAGTCAAATTTTGTACAAATTGTAATTTGTACAAGCACTTTTTGTACAAATTACAATTTGTACAAAGTCAAAATACAAATTATAATTTGTACAAATTTTTTGTACAAATTATAATTTGTACAAAATGATAACTTGTACACAACATATATATATAAATATATATATACAAGTCTAAATTGAAAACAACGTTCAAACCTAGGATTGCGTTGGATAAAAACCGCAATTTTTATACGTGTGCATGCAAAACAAATTGCTTGGAAGAGGGGTCTAAATATAGCACAAACAGCATTTTTCAAAAGACCAAGAAAGTGAAAAAGTATATTTTAACAAAACGCATTTGACTAACAGGTCGAACAACGAATGTTCTAAAACCCTGCTGACTGCCATTGGCGATTGCCAAATAAACGGATCACAAGATGTAACAAAATGGATCTTTATTATTAATTTAATACCAAACAGAAAACAATAAACCTGCGGAAAAGATGGTATACCGCAAACATGAGGTGCAAAAATTTGTACACCATATCCGGATTTCGACAATTAATGTCTCTTCGGTGATGTTAGGAATCGAAACGGTATTTGGAAGGCCATATAATTTACCTCAATTTAGGATATATATATACTTTGCTCTTCTATAAACCATTGCCCTACAACCTGTCCGATAGTATATTGATTACATTTTCCAAAAGACCAAAAAAGTGAAAAAGTATATTTTAACAAAACACATTTGGCTAACAGGTCGAACAACGAATGTTCTTAAACCCTGCTGACTGCCATTGGCGATTGCCAAATAAACGGATCACAAGATGTAACAAAATGGATCTTTATTATTAATTTAATACCAAACAGAAAACAATAAACCTGCGGAAAAGATGGTATACCGCAAACATGAGGTGCAAAAATTTGTACACCATATCCGGATTTCGACAATTAATGTCTCTTCAGTGATGTTAGGAATCGAAACGGTATTTGGAAGGCCATATAATTTACCTCAATTTAGGATATATATATACTTTGCTCTTCTATAAACCATTGCCCTACAACCTGTCCGATAGTATATTGATTATGTAATTTTAGGTCGTACTACGATTTCATCTTCAAAGAAATTTGGTTGTTATACCAAAATCTGTCACACCTAGTAGAATTAAGGAAAACTTTGATGTAAGTATTACATTTTAGTACATTTACTATAATATAAAATTCTGATCCATAGTATACACTTATCTACTGGCTATGAGGGAAAAGCACCTTTATTGTCCCACGAGACACTATTTCACAACGCGAATCTAAATTTGAAACTTAAAAAAATTCGAGGACTCAAAATCTGAATTCAAACATTGAAAATGAATTATTAAAAAAGAAAATCAAGGAAAAGCTTCACGACCAATGAAAGGTATTCTGTTAAATATCAAGTGCACATATATATATATGTATGTTCTTGTTGTTCTTTAACAAGTAGAGGGGGCTTGAAATGAGGGGCAGAAGGACCTTTTTCGGTACACCCGGATTGGGCCTTTATTTTTGCGGGAATTCGGGATTTGGGCCTTTATTTCGCGGAAATTCGGTATTTACACTTACTTATAGGGATTCGGGAATTAATGATTAATTCTTCGGCATACGGGAAAGAATGTTTTATTTTTTTCGGGAATTCGGGATGACACCCCATCTTAACGCCCCTCTTAGATTTATCCATGACTGTAGGCAAACTATAATCTATTAAAGGGTGCCAACTGTTTATTGATATATTGAAGTCCGTCTGATTACACAAAACAATTAATTTATGTTTCTAAAATGAGACGGAAAAATTAAAAACAAGCTATAGAATAGTTACATGCAAACTGAGTACTAAGAAAGTTTAATGGTTTTGTCAGTAACAGATCAGATGTTTAAATGATAAAAAGCAAATAATGAATTAACATTTCTTATTACGAATTTTGCAGGTATTTAGTTTCAGTCTTACGGATGAAGAAATGCAGAAAATATGGTCATTGAACAAAAATCTACGTTTTTATGGTGAACCTATGTGAGTTTTGTGTTGCTTATGAGTTCATTACCATTATAATGGACTACATTTCCTAAGGGTTTATGCACATGTATTACTGAAAGAATTTTCTGCATCAGCTAACATAAATGCAAACATAAATTTGACGAAAAGGTCTCCAAAACAGACTTTGAAGGTACATTTCTAGATTATGATATTAAAGTGGTTAATTCGTCGATCTAAATTGCCAACGGTAAATAGGAATATTGTAAATAGGAATATTACATTTATAAATAGAAAAATGTATGAGGATACATGTAGCAAATAGATCATATTTATTCATGATACATTTTTATTTTTTTGATATAACAAGAAGTTCTAACAAATTACCTCATACGTGGACAAAATTCTAAAATGTACAATAAAAAAATACTTGAACGAAACCTAAGAATAGAAAACGAGGAGGTGACGAAAAGCCCGCGAACACCAAATTATCAATCCAAGCAGTCACATGCACACACATACAACCGCAATATCGGCCATCGGTTATGCGCTCTGGGTAAGGTAATAAAAAGTAAAAGGGTCATTCGTACTTTGTTTTAATTTGTTTGGTTGTAATAATCAAAAAGTTGTAGTAACTTGTTGATATGCACACGGAAGTGCCATATTGTATACTTTAGTACTTCTATTATATGTAGTTATATCCTATTCAATTATCTTCCTCTGAATATAACACATGTGTGTATAAGTTGTCTTTACTGGAGAGACTAAATATTATTTGATTTGATGATAATAAAGATATATAATAGAATTTACCGTGCGCACGACGCTTGTTTCTATAATAACCTCCATTGAATACGCTCCATATCTAAAGACTTAGTATGGAAAGACAGATTCATACAACTTTTGAGCATCAAAACAAGATGACAGAGCAAGAACTAAGACTAACGTTACCTATGGGAGTTAAAGCTTAAATAAAGTTTTAGTAAAATAACATTTTTCTATTATGATAGTTTTGGTAAAATTACATGTTTCGGATTTTTTCACAAAAGCAACTTCACACATTGCCCAAAATAAAGTTTTCCTGTGATGTGTGATGTATTTCGAACAAATAAATCAATTTTGAATGGTGCATGTAATTTATTTATAATAGTATTTTTGAAAAATGGAATATTTTAGACCAAATGTTGCAAATCTATTAAAACGTACAAGTAAGTACAATTAGTTTGCATTAAAACAATGCTCCTAGTACATTTTTAAGCTAACAATTTTTATTAAACAAGTATTAAAGATTTACATGTTTTCTATATTTTAGTGCCAAAGATCACAAGTACTACGCATTCCACGACGAGTTTTGAACACGTGATCACATTGAACTTAACTTTTTATTTACTGGTTTAAGATGTTTTTGTAAAAATAAATCAATTACGCTTATTATATATATTGGCTTGTCGATGGGTGATTTTATTGTTATGTTAGTATGTAAATAGATGTTGTATGTTTGACAATGACATAAATATCCACTGAATACCAAAAAAGTCGCGAAAGGGAATACCAAAAAAAGTCGCGAAAGTGAAGACCTTCTACGTACAGGCCATCATAAAGTCTATCAACCGTTGTCAATTCTCGATAAAGGTGAAGATATGAAGCAGACTCAACCGTATCTGTTGTAACCTTGGTTTCAACTTCAGTGGTATAAATGCCTCTAAAATAGTCACCAAACTTTTAATTATTCAGTGAAAAAACATCATCTATGTAGCGGAATGTGAAGTTAAAGTCCATACAGTAAAAGAAACACATTTTGCATTTGTTATTACTAAAATTGTATTTAATTCAGCAATATCGCTGTAAATGCTAATGTTAAACGAATAATTAACATCCTTACATAAGTTAAAAGTTAAATTACTTCAGAGTTACTGTGAAACTAACTGCACTACGGGCGGTGTGATTCAGGTTTGGATACTCAAACATTCCAAAGAATTGTTAGATTTACAACCTGAGTCCCTTTCCTCGTGCATTTGTATAAACAAAAATTGACTTCTCTACTCTTTACACAAGTAATCATCAATTCTAAACTTAAAGAAATTTTGAAAGAATTAGTCCAACTTTGTTTCATAAAAAAGAATGGCCAAATAAGATAGAATCATAATTTAAAGAAAACACTTTGATTTAGAAAAAAAGGTTATCTGAAACTGACATCATCAAGATTTTTTGTCGAGCTTGCGACTTCTGTTGCAGAAAGCTCGACATAGGGATAGTGATCCGGCGGCGGCGTCGTTAACTAACTACTTAAAAGCTTTATATTTTAGAAGGTGGAAGACCTGGAAGATCCGTCTGTCATATGTTAATTTTCCTTGACCTCATTTTCATGGTTCAGTGACTACTTGAAAAAAGGGTTAAGATTTTTTGTAATGTTAATTTCTCTCTTTATCATGAGTAACAGGATAACTATATTTAGTATATGCGTACCTTCATGGTCCTCATGCCTGTCAGACAGTTTTCATCTGACATCGACCTCATTTAATAGATCAGTGAACTTGGTTAAGTTTTCGTGGTCAAGTCCATATATCAGATACTATAAGCAATAGCTCTAATATATTTGGTGTATGGAATGATTGTAAGGTGTACATGTCCAACTGCCATGTGTCATCTGACCTTGACCTCATTTTTCATGGTTCAGTGGTTGAAGTTAAGTTTTTGGTGCTTTGGCCTTTTTATCTAATACTATATGCAATAGGTAAACTATATTTGGTGTATGGAAATATTTTACGATGTACATGTCAGTTTGGCAGGTTTTATTTGACCTTGACCTTATTTTTACGGTTCATTGCTCAGTGTTAAGTTTTTGTGTTTTGGTCTATTTTTCTTAAACTATAAGCAATAGGTCCACTATATTTGGTGTATGGAATGATTGTAAGGTGTATATGTCTGTCTGGCAGGTATCATCTGACCTTGATCTCATTTTCATGGTTCATTGGTCAATATTAAGTTTTCCTGGTTAAGTTTGTTTCTTAGATACTATAAGCAATAGGTCAACTATATTTATAGCATAGATTGATTGTAAGATGTACATGTCTGTCTGGCATGGTTCATCTGACCTTGACCTCATTTTCATGGTTCATTGGTCAATGTTAAGTTTTCCTGGTTAAGTTTGTTTCTTAGAAACTATAAGCAATAGGTCAACTATATTTTGTGTATGGAATGATTGTAATTATATAAGGTGTACATGTATTTCCGTTTGGTTTATCTAACCTTGATCTCATTTTTTTGGATCATGTTAGGTTTATGTGAAACTTGTAGTAAAGCTTTATATTTAGGACTATCAACATAAAATCAATGGTCAGTAAAGCAGGCAAGACATTTCAGCATGTGCACTCTTGTTTTATTGACAACATATCTCTATCGTTTGGAGAGCGTGTTCTTCAACATGCAATCGACATTTCTAAGGGAACACACTGCACCATGATCCTCTTCTTGCCGAATATATCCTTTATACTTATGAGGCAGACTTCCTACAGGAGCTTTTCAAATAAGATGCGGGCATTAAATACGTTTCGCTATATAGATGATATTCTTCCACTGAATAATTCAAATTTTGGTGACTATTTTAGAAGCATTCATACCACTGCCGTTGAAATAAAGATTTCAGTAGATACTGCTTCATATCTTCACCTTTCTCGAGAATTGACCACGGTTGGAAACTAATGTTTAGAACAAAAGAGAGTTTTTTTTTTTTTTTGCCGTTATAAACTGTCCATTCTATGTCGCAACATTACAGCATCGCCTGTATGTAGAGTATATATCTCCCAGTTGATAAAAATGTTTAAGGACTAGCGTTTCCCATCACCATTTCTTTGATAAAAGGTGATCGTAAACGTAAACGTAAACTTACGATTTCAAAGAAAAAAGTGGGCTTTCCTTGATAAAAGAAAGCTTTTGAACCAATTATCACTTCGAATTTGGCCTTTTAATTTTTTTGATTCGAGCGTCACTGATGAGTCTTTTGTAGACGAAACACGTGTTTGGCGTTCAAAATTATAAGGCTGGTATCTTTGATGATTTTGTTTCTCTCGAAAGTTTTACTAACGCCATTATGATTTGGTTTACATTTATGGAATACCTGTGTCACCTTCTTTTGGTTTTTGATGGATTTTTGTTGCTTTTGCTTCATTTTCAGTGTTGTATTTCGTACTATTCTGATTGTCAACGTCCATGTAGTTTTTACAAGCAACAGTCTTGTCCGTTCTTGATTCTGAAAAACCGTGTTAACATTTCAAACTTTCTCGTTCGGTCAAGTAGTGGCGTAAGAGAATTAACATGACCGAGAGTTTATGCATTTTGTCTAACGGTAAGATAAGAAACATTGACCTTTCCGATATTGTGTGATGGCGTTTCACCATATATTACTCAATAAAGTATTTAACAGGAGAAACACGGCGGGTGTCATCAGTAGAGCAGAAATGTTTGAAACAACCGAGTTACATTCGGTTTTTTTTGGGGTACGTGTTTTTGACTTGTTTTGTCTTTACGCCGTTTTTTTTTTATTGTTGCCACGATGTTGTTTGTTTCAATTATACTTATGGTATTTGATTGGTGTCTTCTCACTTCTTTTAAAATATTGTACAGCCCTGTACTTTTCAGTACAAAAGACCCTAGACTTTCCTTAAAAATCAACATAAGTAATATATTGTCTAATCACTTGTGACCAGAGAAACTTTGAAATTAAGTCTTGCCAATGCTTAAAAATCAATCTGATTTGTTGATATAAATTTCATTGGCAGTGCTGGAGTCGGTTTCACAAAAAAACTTACGACTAAGATTGATCGTAAGTCATGAACAATTCAGTATACTTACGACAAATCTTGGTCGTAAGTTTTTTTATGAAACCGACTCCAGAACTTCATTATAGATTTTACTTCGTCATTGATTTGGTCTTCCAACTGTTTGTATCCTAGCGCTACTGATATATTTTATGTAGATGAAATGTATGCATGGCGTGCTTACTTATAAGTCTGGTATATTGAGTTTTTAGCAATACCAAAATTGTCCCAAAAAAGAGTTCTACAACCCACACGAACCTTCTTTTATATTACAAGGAAACAGTAAGAATCATTAGAATGTGTTGACGACTTAAAACATTTTTATTAAACCTTCTGTATATACGTATAAAACAAATATATTTCGAATAAGGAGGACATTTTCTAGTACATGCATCTTTGGCTTCATTTCGTTTTTAAATCGCAAGCAGATCATCATCTTCTTCAATAACATTATAAATCCAAATTCGTTAAACAAATATATTTGTTATCCAGATAACAGAAAGGTGACAGAAACCGAACTTTTCTACTGATTCCTAAGATATCTAGCTTTGTGATGCATGCAAAGCAGAAAATCCCAAACCTGCTGATGCCCCTGGACATTTTACATTGGAATTTTAAGCAAAACCGATTGTTGTTGCTTCCATGCTTGAAGTACTTGGGCCTCTGCTGCTTCAAACTACGTCGGTATCAGTTCTGATTGATATATGAAAATAAGAAGATGTGGTATGATTGCTAAGGAGATAACTCTCCACCAGAGACCAAATGACATAGATGTTAACAACTATAGGTCACAGTACGGCCTTCAACAATGAGAAAAACCAATACCGCATAGTAAGCTATAAAAGGCCCCGAAATGACAAATGTAAAACAATTCAAAAGAGAAAACTAACGGTCTGATTTAAGTACAAAACAATAAACGAAAAACAAATATGATAAACAGCAACAAACGACGACCACTGTATTACAAGCTCCTGACTTGGGACAGGCACATACAGAATGTAGCGGGGTTAAACGTGTTTGCTGGCGCCAAACCCTCCCTCTAACCTGTGACCAAGGTGTAACAGTACAACAAAAGAGCACACTATAAAAATCATTTGAAAAGGGCTTAACTCATCAGATCCATACATCGCAGAAAAACAACTATCACAGACCGGACATGGCAAGGTATTTATACATCCCCAACAACAACAAAAAAGACACAAAGTACAAATTTTAGAGTACTCGCAGTTACTGAAAGCTAGTTCAAAGTTTGAGACCATTTTTCATATAACTATCAAATGTGGTTAAAACGATTTGAACCTGCCTTAGACCCTGCCACGTCCAGTCTGTGTTTATGTTTGATGTTTTGTATCGATCTGATGAGTTAAAGCCTTTTTCAACTGATTTTTATAGTTTTTTCTTATGTTGTGCTGTTACACCACTGTCCCAGGTTAGGGGGAGGGTTGAGCGCTCACAAACATGTTTAACCCCGCCACATTCTTTATTTGCCTGTCCCAAGTCAGGAGCCTGTAGTTCAGTGGTTGTCTTTGGTTCATGTCTATCATATTTGTTTTTCGTTAATTGTTTTGTTATAAATTAGGCCGTTAGTTTTCTCAATTGAATTGTTTTATATTTTTCAT